CACATGTGGCTTGCTTTAGCACATGTGTTTATTTGGACTGCAGTAAAGCATACAGAACAAGAACTTCATATCCCTATTCTTCTATATTTATATATATATATATATTATATATATATATATATATATATATATATATATATATTAGTTACCTAAATTGGTCTTAAATATAAACACTGTTATAGTATCTGCTATCTCTTGGGCCAGAGATTTACCCTGGGACTAAGTTTTACCCTGGTACTCATTTTTTTATTCAGAATCAGCCGACCTTGAGCCTGAAGATCGACGCTGATTTTGCGTGATACTCAGACCCCTGCGTGATAGTCAGAGACTCTATGTTAGTTTGGTCTGACGAATTTGTCCGCATAGATATTATTACTTTCCATGGTTCTTTTGATTTTGATTCTCCAATATGAAAGTCGCTACATTCAACTGTGTAATAGGTACGGTCAACTGTGCGGGAGTCGGTCGAAAGAGAACACTAATAAAACATCTACTTTTCTCCCACATCATCCAAATCCTCTCTCTCACCGACACCCGCCTCAAAACTCCTCCTAATTTCACAGGCTACACTACACACCACCTAAACAAAAGCCAGGCCAGTCATGGTAATGGTTTCTTAATACACCACTCCATACCCTCTACACCTCACACTCCTCCTCCCTCATATATTAGGCCAGCTCCATGATACCGACTTCCTGGCAGTTGAAATTCACCTACAAGACAACACCAAGGTTAGGATAATATCCTACTACAAACATCCAAATACACCCCTTTCCCTACCTCTTGTCGAGTATTTTTCCACGCTAGACAAGGCGGTATTAATGGGCGATCTAAACAGCAGGCACACTCACTTTGGTGATACAACCTCAAATATTCCAGGCAGAGAGCTCTCAGACCTTTTTCTAGAGCTGCCAATCTCCAGAATCACCAATCGAGAGGTCACGTTTTTCAATCACCAAGGAATGTCCATTGTTGATCATATCTTATGCATGGTTAACCTGCTTGATAGGATTGACGATGAATGCTCTATTGGTGATTCCATTACCTCTGACCATCTTCCTCTTCTAGTCAACACTGACTTCAACTCTTTACCCCAAGTAAGACCTGCCATCTATAGGATAAATTATCGTAGAGCAAATTGGGATCTTTTCCAAGAACATGTCAATCAAAACCTTTCTGAGTTAGCCATTATGTCAACACGTAACCAAGTTGACACAGGGATCTCCAAAGTTGAGAAACTTTTTCAAGAAGCCTCAGCCCTGGCTATTCTGAAAACAAGGTACAATCCATATACTCCAACACTCCTGCCGCAAATCATCGCGCGAATTGAAACCAAACGCAGATTACTCAGAGAGTATAAACTATTCAGAGACCCCCTCATCAAAGCAGAATACAATAGGCTTTCGGCGGTCATAAGGCTCGAAGTGAACAAGCAGAAACAAAGACAGTGGATGCGAGTCACTTCGGACTTCGACTACCGGGATGGCTCTGCATTCTGGAACAAACTCAAAGTCCTAACAAGACAAAAAAGTCAGTCATGATCTCACCTCAAAGTCAACAACGTCTAACTTAACAATCCGCAAGATAAGGCCGAAGCTTTCAAAAATACACTTCAGGCCACCCTTGTTTCACCCAACAACCCCAATTTCAATGAAAGATCCAAAAGAGCAACCGAACGGAGAGTGGAAGATATATTCTACTACCCTCAGGCACTTGACGGACCACATCCTCATCCGATGATGGCGCCAGTGACTGAGTAAACCGTCAGCCAGATGTGTAAAATAGGAAAAAACACGTCTAATGGACCAGATGGCATCCACGGAAGATGCCTCAAAAATCTTCCACAGAATATCATCCCGTTGCTCACCAATATAATCAATGCATCTCTTGCGCTAAGCTACTTTCCTCTTCCTTGGAAAGTGGCCAGCACCGTCATGGTCCCTAAAAAAAGGGAAATCCCTCACCAACCCTGAATCGTATAGACCAATTTCACTTCTGAGCACCCTAGGTAAAGTCTACGAGAGGATCCTCAAGGAGAGACTCGTAGAATTCCTAGACGCTCACTTCCTTATTTCCAATTACCAATTCGGATTCAGGGCTGGACACTCCACACAAAATGCATTGGTTGAAGCAACAACTTTTATTTCTTAATCCATTAACGAAAGGAAGCACGTCGTAGGCATATTCCTCGATATCCAGAAGTCTTTCGATCAGGTCTGGTATGCAGGCTTGATCGAGAAACTCCACCTTGTTGGACTGCCAACACCTTTCGTTAAACTAATAAATTCCTATCTCTCCCATCGGACGGTTAGGATCAAAATAGGAGAACATCTCTCCACTCCATTCACTCCTCAAGCAGGAGTACCCCAAGCCTCAATACTTGCTCCAATATTATACACAGTCTACAATAGCGACATCCGCCCACAGCAAGGATCAGAGTCTCTACTCCTATTTGCTGACGATACAGCCATTCTCACCTCAGGTTCCTGCGGGGAAGGAGAGCGACGGTCTGTATTCGAGAAATCGCAAGATTACCTTGAGGTGGTATTCTATTCTTGATAGAGTCGTGAGGTGGTGCAACAAATGGAGGGTCACTTTAAACCCCTTCAAAACACAAGCAATTTTATTCAGACCTCCTTAAGGAGGTGGCCTCCAGGCCGGCTAACACTTTTGGGAGAGGACCTTATTCTCAGGAACTCAGTCGTCTACTTGGGAGTTCGTTTTACGAGAACTCTCAATTGGAAGGCTGAAGTCCAAGATTCCCTTGACAGGATGAGAAAAAGGCTCAATCTCCTGAAAGTGCTATCCGGTAAACTACGAGGAACGTCCTCTAACACATTGTTGCACACCTACAAGACTTTCATCAGACCGATAATCCAATACAAGGCATGCGTTTACCTCTCCCTGAGGAACCATGAACTCAACGCCATCACCGCCACCGAGCGTAGAATACTACGCTTCTGCATGAGAAAAGATTGACTGTATCCATCAGCCCACATTTATGCACTAACCAACATCACGCCAATTAAGGACAGAATCCTAACCGTCAGTAGGAAGTATGTCTTAAGAACCATAGCTGGCTCGAACAACCGAGCAAAACAAACATTAAAGACACCTTGTTCACATAGAGGGCAAATACTCACCAGGCATCCCGCCAATAAAGTTCCATTCCCTCCAGCTAAACTTCTACATAACGCTGGACCCGAACGTCCTGAGGAGTATTTTGATATTCTTGAATCTTTCCCCATCTATTATCGCAGATAATTAGCGCGCCAAAAACGCTGATAAAGAGCCGTTTCTACTGTATGGCTGGTAACCCTGAAGTACCTCACACTGCATGCTAGGCAAACCCAACTTCTTCTTGTGCATTCAATCGATTATTATCGATCACACAAATAAGCCACCTTTTTTTTTTTTCTCTTTTCTTAGTAGTTCTCTACTTCTTAGGTCGCGTTTCGTTTAATTGACGTTTTTCTCACACCCCCCACAACTCCGTCAAAAAAAAAAGGAGTTCCCCATTCCTTGAAGAGGCGTAAGCCTAAACAAGGTTAAAACTCAAGATTAGTTAATATGAAAGTCAATTTTTTTGAATTTTTCATCTCAAATTTTATTTCTGTTGTCTGCAGATATTCTGATCAATTTACTTCTGGTCAATAACCGTTTATATGCCTCTTGTTTTATATATTGTTGATTTTCGAGTTCTGAGTTCGACGTCGTATTATTTTCCTTGGGCTGCCTTCACTCAGCAGCCCAAGAGCTTCTTGGGCTGCTGAGTGAAGGCATTGTGTTATATGGTTGTAAAGTTTATTGAGAGCTAAGATCCATATTGTGTACCTATGTAAACTCTAGCATCTTTACCAACTAATTTTAATTCTTGTTTTTTAATGAAATAATCAGTGACATATTATAAATTTTAAACAAATCCCTAGAACAGGTTTGTATAACTAAATTTTAGACTTATTTTAGATTTTTTTTAGCTTGGTTTCGACCATTACAATTTTCTGATCATCTTCAGGTCTTTGAGCAAGGTAAATTAAAATGCTAAAACAATTACATATCGTTACTAAAGGAGTTCTATCAGGTTCTATCAGGTTTATTACAAAAAGTGACAATATAACTTATGTATGATTTGAGAAAGTATATAAATAGTACTTACATGCCAGTGCAAAAATTGTTGTTAAAAAAAACCTTTATCAAACGCTCGTTTATGCTATATATGGTTTAAAAGAATATATAAATATATAGTACTTAAGGAATATTGAAGGAATATAAAAGGTGAGTACCGAACGCTCATTGATACTATATAGCATAAATTTTAATATTATTCCTTACATCAACATGTAAGGACTATTCATCTACTTCCTCAAATCATACATAAGTAATATTGTTTACAATAAACCTGATGGAACACTTTTAAAATTCTTCAATTTTAAAATAAAGGCCTTAACCTATTTTTGTTAGAATCTATGGAAATCAACAAATTAAAAAACACTAACTTGAGACAAACAGTTTTCCTCTCCTCATTCTATTTCATTAAAGACTATAAAGTGTAAACGAATGCCAAAAATAGATCACTTGAGAAAGGCACTCAGCCGAAACAGTTGTAGTGATAAGAGTTTAAAATAAATTTTGTGGAAGTTTGAAAACAATATTTTCAGTGTTTTATTATTACACAAAATGAATTTCCATCAAGTAAGGGTCGAATCCATCAATTCGATATTAAAGTCTCCAACCCCAAAACAAGTAATAACAAACTAAATCCGCCAACTTGGCTTGGCCTGGTAAACTATCAAGGCGACTTAAAATAAAAAAAAACAAGAAACGTTCATAACGTAACAGGAATTGCATTAAAAATAATTCATTTTTTTTTCAGATTTAATAAAAAGATGATTCAAAAATTAAAGAAGAAACCCAAAGCTGTAGATACCAATCAGTATTTTATATGATTGTGCGTGCAAGAACAATTATGTGATGAGTGCAGATGTAGAAATAACTACAAAATGGGGAGTTTACCAAATTTGCATGAGCTGGGAAAACCTCCTGGTGAAGAGCAGGGATATAAGCCAGGTAGGTTAAGAAGGTTACATTACATCATTTACAGTATACATATTATGTTATACATTCCTTTATGTATCCACTACATTAAAAGATTAATAATATTGGATATACTTACGAATTTTTTTCAAATTAAAAATCTTATTTTCAGTTTTTTTTATCCTAGGTATATCCCTTTCATATCGTCACGAATTTAATTTTATATGTTTGGTCATTTGATATTAACTGGGTATTGTCCAAAAATATTTTAAGATAATATGCCGTAGTTAACAATCGGTCAACATAAAATCTCGGTAGTAAATATTACTTTTGAATAGAAATTCTCGGAATTTCGTTCAAGTAGTACCTAATTCGTGAACATATAGATGTCAAGGCTTCGAAAAAAATTTGAATCATAATTTTTTAACTAGGGATAATATTATTCAATAGTACGATCGATTGTTAATGCATCGTCATTGTGTCAATTTATACAATAGGATATATTGGTGTAATTTAGACATCTAAAAAAACATTTTTTACATTTTTTTGTCCCGCACGAAAATTTTATGTAATTTTATCAAAGAATACAATATCTTGAAAATTACTAAAAACAAGGAAATATCTGAGACTCTAAGAAGCACAATGGCCTAAGTGTAAAATTGATGTTTTGAGATATCGGCAACTAAAGAATTGATCTAAAAATGAAACAAGTATTATTTTATTCAAACACCTGGAACATTATACATATATTAGTCGGATGAGTAAAAGACTAACAAAAAAAAATCTTTTCTTATACAAAAAAAAAAGTCATGATGTTAAATATTAAGCTTATGCGAAAAAACATAAAACCTTCACTTGGGTCACCTATTCATCTGTTTTAGATCCAATATTATCCATTATCTATTGCCTCCAAACTTGCCTTCAGGTTTTTGTAGAATTCGTTTGTAGATAGACCGGCGGAATGTAAGGAAAAAGACTCTAAAGGTCTTTATACAGGGTGAGTCATAACTATTGGGACATAGACTAAGGACAGGTTATCTGGACCAAAATATGGCCATTGGCCCAAATATACCTCAATAAAATGTTGCTGAGAAAAAAGATACAGGGTGTTAAAGTGGAAATTTAAAATTTTATTTTTTTCTATAACTTTTATGTTTGTAAACATTTATGTATAAAAATTTACAGCTGGGTACTATTGAATATCGGAAATTATAATTTGATGCATACTTTAATATATCTAATAGAGGGCGCCACATATGCCACATATGTGGCATACATTTACACTTAACTTTTTGGTTCTTTAAATTACCGGTATTCTTGGTAAAAAATATTAAAGATACATTATTTTAACAAAAAAAAGGTATACTTGTTAATAACTTCAAAACTCAATAGTTTTCGAGATAATCGCATTTTACAAATCAACTGCATAATTCTGATTTAACGCAATTACTCCAGGCAATGAAAGAAACATAGATAAAAACAATAATACTTTTATATTTTGTTATAAAATATCTTTAATAAGGTCAATAGTTAACGAAATATTAAATAAAATAAATATACCAGCAGGATAATTAATAATAGGATTTGATAAAATAAAAGAATAATTGGATTTTACATCAAACATTTTACGTTTTGTATTAAATTAAAGTCATAATCAAAACATTTTATTTACAAACCAAATTTAAAAATAGGTAAACTAAATAACATTAAACTTTTTGTCAAAGTAAGTGTTTGATATGTCTACCTTTTTTTTTAATTCATTTGTCAATACATTCCATAAAATATCATCTCATATTAAATAGCATCATGGGTTCTAAAGAACCTGCTGCAGTATTTATTATAGTTGTTTTAAGTATAATAATTAGTAATTTTTTGAAATTTTTATGAATTAAACAATTATTATTATCTCACCACAAGAATATGATTACCACGAACAATCCAACGATCAGGAAAGTGTATTTAAATAGTGTCTTACTCCGCTTTCACTGTAATTTAATGGTGTACCATCTTGTAGAAACCACATATTTTGCCTTAAGTTTGATAACAATTCTTCCAATAAATCAATAAAATAATTTTATTAAAAATGTAAATCAATCTCGACATTCAAATTTCGCGGTAATTCGCATATCCGAAAAAAATAATTATCAATGTTTCCAAACCATGGGACTAAATTTTAAATATGAATTTTGAATGATATTTTACAGATATGCGAATTACCTTTCAATTTAAATGGTGAGATTTATCTACATTTTTTATAAAATAATTTTATTGATTTATTGGAAGAATTGTCATCAAACTTAAGGCGAAATATGAGGTTTGTACAAGATGGTACACCATTACATTACAGAGAAAGCGGAGTGAGACAGTATTTAAATACACTTTCCTGAACGTTGGATTGTTCGTGGTAGTCATATTCTTGTGACGAGATAATAATATTTATTTAATTCATAAAAATTTCAAAAAATTACTAATTATTATACTTAAAACAACTATAATAAATACTGCAGCAGATTCTTTAGAACCAATGATAAAAAGTTTAATGTTATTTAGTTTAACTATTTTTTTAATTTGGTTTGTAAATAAAATGATTTGATTGTGACTTTAATTTAATACAAAACGTAAAATGTTTGATGTAAAATCCAATTATTCTGTTATTTTATCAAATCCTATTATTATTTATCCTGCTGGTATATTTATTTTATTTAATATTTCGTTAACTATTGACTTTATTAAAGGTATTTTATAACAAAATTCCGAGGTATTGATTTTTTTTTATCTATTTTTCTTTCATTGCCTGGAGTAATTGCATTAAATCAGAATTAAGTAGTTGATTTGTAAAATGCGATTATCTCGAAAACTGTTGAGTTTTGAAGTTATTAACACGTATACCTTTTTTTTTGTTTAAATAATGTATCTTTAATAGTTTTTATCAAGAATACCAATAACTTAAAGAACAAAAAAGATAAGTGTAAAAGTATGCCACGTACGTGGCATATGTGGCGCCCTTTATTAGATATATTAAAGTATGCATCAAATTATAATTTCTGATATTCAATAGTAGCCAGCTGTAAATTTTTATACATAAATGTTTACAAACATGAAAGTTATAGCCAAAAATAAAATTTTAAATTTCCACTTTAACACCCTGTATCTTTTTTCTCAACAACATTTTATTAAGGCATATTTGGCCCAATAGCCATATTTTGGTCCAACTAACCTGTCCTTAGTCTATGTCCCAATAGTTATGACTCATCCTGTATTTTAGTTGCTCTATGGGTCTTCCAGCAGAATAGGTGTCCAAAGTAGAAGTCTTCTCTTTTTATCTGAAAGACGTCTGTTCTTTTTTTGAGACGTCTCCACAGTTAAATAATATACTTTCGTTATTAGAACATTTAAAATAAATTTTAAGAGGCTCTTCTTCTTAGAATATTAGTTACTGTATTTTAAGTCATTCTACTTCTATATCTTACTCACTTTTTTCGTAACTTCTCTAGTTTTTCAGTCTTTTAAGTACCTTAAAGTCTTTTAAATACCTGAAATTTATTCTTCTTTTTAAAACTGAAAATAACTTTTATCCAATCGTCTAGCGAAAAAAATTCTTTAAAATATCGTTTTTTTTTTCGATCAGTCCAAAGTTTCTGTCTAACTAGAAACTTGTGATGTATTACTGTGGGACTGAAAATATTTGAGACCGTCATGTATGTACAAATAGATGCCAGTTTGATATTTTAATTCTGACCTCCTCATTGATCGCTGTACAATATCAAAACCTAATCAAATACAAAGGCAACGGCCTAACAGCTTGAACAAACAGTTTAACAAGTTACAATGGGATTTCTCAGAATATACATTAAAAAAAATTGATAGACAGATAAATAAGGTTGTAAGACAACAATTAAATAATCAATTTTATCAAAGAGAAAATGAAACACAATGGAAACAATATTTATAAACAAAATAGATAAACAAATCGACTAACTAAATAAATAAAAACAATATAAAGAATCTCCCTTGATAAGATGGAGCAAAATTTTATGACAGACCAGACAATAAATGTTTAAACCTTGATAGGAAGAAAAAAAATGAAAAATCTATGTTATTGTAATGAAATTTCTACAATTCATAAACAATTACTATAAAAACATCTTATTACATAATTAGTATTTTTAGATTTACTTACATTAAACTGAAAGAACCTAAAACATGTTAACACCGAAACTTGTCACAACATAACTACCATTTTGTAAAATATCACAAAATTGTTATTTCCGAGATATAAGATAGCAGTCAAATGTAGAATAAACACGTTTTCACCTATCTTAACAGTAACATTGGAATTTTTTTCGTGTTGAAAATGTAGTTTTTACAATTCACTTATTTACAAAAAATTCTTGGCTTGGTGTCTAAAATAGTTACGGTTTGCTTGTCCACTAATAAATATATCTAATATAAATTACTGGAAAACAAAGAAATAAAAATACTTTGTTACACAAACGACGCAATATTGATAGCCCAAAATGAAGATAGTTTGCAAAGACTTGTCCACAGGTTTAACATAAGAGCAAAAGAATTTAACAAAAGTACAAAGAACCAACCAGAAGTAAAATAGAAATTGATGACATCAGTATTTAACAAGTAATGGAAATAAAATACCTAGGAATTACACTATTTAGCTATAGAGACATGGACGAAGAAGTGAGAGATCAAATACAAAAACTAAATAGACTGGCAGGATGCCTTAATAACACTATATTAGTCCAGGCTGTAAGGCCGCTCCCGTTGGGAAAATGTTTCTCATTCGGTTTCTTCACGGATTCCGGTTCAAAAATGTCCCCTATAAACAAATCTGAAGGGTGCCGGACGAAATTTTTGGGCAGAAATTGTTCAAACAATTTTTTTAAACAAACTCCAAAAATAATTTTTGTTAATCTGGAAAACGTTTTTAGATTTTTTGGGTCATTTTAAACAAAAAAGGTCTCCTGTCATTTTTCGCTAAAGTTAATGGTTTTCGAGTTATAAGCGATTTAAAGTTT